TCATCTATCTTTTCGTATTTTTTCTTTTTTTTTCTTTTTCTTTTCCTTTTCATTTTCTTTTGATTCTTTTTCATTTTTGAAGAATCATTATATATACTTTCTTCATGATTTCTGCTTCACCAACGTACAATTTCTTCATCATCCACTCCTCAATTTCTTTCTTATACTTTTTTCCTCTTTGAAAATACCAACCAAAAAGCTCATAGAATTTTCAATGACAAATTCATTATTCTCACTCAAACACTTTGTCAACATTTTTCTTCACACTAAAATCTTTATGCATTTACCCAATCAAAGCTCCCCTAGTCCTTTAGGCAAGGTTAAGGAAATCAATGTCAAGTATAAGGCTTATAATGTGGTTCCATAGCAAAAAAAAAAAAAAAAAAAAAAAAAACACAGAGTTAAAAAGGCTCAAAGTGGCTGACTAAGGATAAATCAATCATGGTATGAATAGGCTATTTGGCTAGTGAGGCTAAAAATCAAAGATGGCCTTAATCATATTAAAATCATGCATGCATCAAATTAGCTTTAAAGAGAATCAAGGCAAGTTCTAGAGATACATATCTATGGAAGATATCACACATGAATAAATTAATTAGACTGAAGTGTCAGTCAAAGGCTCAAAAATCTCACAGGTTCATGCTTGTTTAGTTTAACCACCACCATATCAAACAAAATACTAAAATATATATTCATAATACGCAAGACCAATTATTCAATTATGTTATGAATTCTAGTAAAAATACTATATTTTTGAAAAATTTATTAGTCATTTTTAGTAAAAATATTATATTATATTTTTTGAAGGGAAGAATTAAATAATGAATAATAGTTAAATTCCCCCCCCCCCCCCCCCCCCCACACTTATTCTTAACATTGTCCCAAATGTTAAATAGAATGTAAAGATAAGAGGAAAATTAATAAAAATGCAAAACAAATAAAGGAAATAATTGAATAAACTCCCCTTGGGTTGCCTCCCAAGCAGCGCCTTTCTTTAACGTCTTTGGCTAGACTCCATCGCCGTCCTAACGCATACTCAAAGTTAGGACTTCTATTCAGCGCAACATTCAATTCATCATCAACAATAAAATGAGAATTAACTTCCTGCAATAAAATATCCACAGCAAAAACAGATGATATGCCATTCAAATGTTTCATGGTAGTATTAAATATATCAAATTTTATAATTTCACCATCAAACTCCATTGTCAATGTACCATCATGCACATCAATTTTCGATTTAGTTGTTTTCAGAAATGGCCTTCCCAACAATATTAGTGTTGAATCATAAGAATTATTATTATATTCTTCCATATCAACTACATAAAAATCAGCAGGAAAAACTAAACCTTGCACTTGTACTAAAATATCTTCCAAAACACCTCTAGGATACACATTAGATCTATCAGCAAGTTGAAGAATTATACCCGTTTCTTTTAATGGACCAACATTCAAAGATGAATAAACAGACAAGGGCATGACATTAATTGAAGCTCCAAGATCTAACATTGCTCTTTCAATATTAATATTACCAATCTTGCAAGGGATAGCAAACATACCTGGGTCTTTACACTTGGGAGGTAATTTTTTCTGAAGGATAGCTGAAACATTTTCCCCCATGCTTACCATTTCATTGCCTTTTAACTTTCTTTTATTTGTGCACAACTCTTTGAGAAATTTAGCATATCGAGGAATTTGTTTAATAGCATCAAGTAAAGGAAAATTTACCTCAATTTTTCAAAATGTTTCAAGAATTTCTTTCTCTTCTTCATTCTTTTTGGATTTAGCCAATCTACTAGGAAAAGGTGGAGGAATTACCAAAGACTTCGAGAGCTCCCTAATAAGATTTTGATCATTATGAGGCTGAGAGACTTCTTTTTCAGTTTCCTCATCTTTGTTGGGTGTTTTTCTTACTTGAGTATGTTCTTTCAACTCTTTTCCACTCCTCAATGTAATTGCACTTACATTTTGCTTTGGATTCACAACAGTTTGTGATGGCAATTTACCTTGAGACTCCAATCTACTCACGATAGATGCTAGTTGGCTCACCTGACTTTCCAAATGTTGAATACTTGTTCTTGTTTCTTGCTGAAATTGTTGTGTGTTAGTAGCAAGTGACTTAACAATATCTTCCAATGACGTACCTGAATTAGAAGATGGTTGTTGTGAGCATGAAGGTTGTTGTTGTGGAACATGCTGATATTGTTGAAATTGTGGGCGTGCTTTATAGCTAAAATTAGGATGGTCCCTCCATCCGGGGTTGTATGTATTTGAGTAGGGATCATAATTTCTTTGTGGTTGTCCCGGAAATCCTCCAACTGCAATGACATCCTCACAAGAGTTGTATTGAAGCATCGGGCACATGTCAGTTGGATGGCCAGTAACAGCACAAATTCCACAAGCTTTTACTTGTTGCACATTTCTTACAACTAACTGTTGCACAAGAGTAGTTAATTGAGATAATTTATTGTCAAGGGAAGAAATATTTACCTCATTCACTCTTCTTGGAGATGCGTCTTGTCTACATCCAAATTGTTGTGAATTAGCAGCCATGATGGATATCAAATCTCTAGCTTCACGAGGAGTTTTGTTTACTATAGCACCTCTACTAGCTGCATCCATCATATTTCTCTCCATGGGAAGCAATCCTTCATAGAAGTATTGAATAAGGAGTTGTTCAGAAACTCCATGTTGGGGGCAACTTGCACACAGTTGCTTGAAGCGTTCCCAGTATTCGTGGAGGGTCTCTACGTCTCTTTGCTTAATTCCACATATTTCTCTTCTATTGCTAGTTGCTCGTGATGCTGGAAAAAACTTTTCAAGAAATAGTCTTACCATATCCGCCCATGTGGTTATTGTGCTAGGAGGGAGGTAAAATAACCAATCCTTTGCTTTCTCGGTTAATGAAAATGGGAAGGCACGCAGTTTCATTTGATCTTCCGTCACTCCTTGTGGTTTGAAGCTCGAACACACTACGTGGAACTCCTTTAGGTGCTTATGTGGATCTTCATTTTCAAGTCCACGAAAAGTCGGAAGTAATTGAATCAAACCTGACCTTAATTCAAAACCAACCTCTAATGCAGGATGTTGAATACAAAGCGGTTGTTGATTCACATTTGGTGCCGAAAGCTCCCGCAAGGTCCTTTGTTCTTCGGCCATTGCTTGCTCTACTTCGGGATTGCAACAAGAGGCAGTTGATTCAGTTGTGGTATTTGTTTGAAGGGATGTTGAAGAAAGAGCTTGATTTTTGCGCAATTTAGTTTCCTTCCTCAACCTTTTAGCAGTCTTCTCGATCTCAGGATCGTATTGCAATTGACCTGTACGAGAAGAACGCTGCATAAAAAAAAAATCTATTTGACACCAATCCCCGGCAACGGCGCCAAAAATTTGGTGGGTGTCGAATCCAACAAATAATAAATTACTTACTCTTATTAATTGCAATAGTGACGAGTAAGGTCGTACCCACAGAGATTGGTTCGATTAAATTTTATACCAAAAGACTTAACAAAGAATGAGACGAGAATTGAAAATTAAATAGCAACAATAAAAATGCAAACAATATCAAATATCAAATAATCAATAGCAACTAGTATCCAACTCAAGGCATAATATCAATTTAATTCTAAAAAGACAGATCATTGATTTCCAAGAAATAATTACTTTACTCTTTACCAAATTGGTTAGGGTTATTAACAAGCTCTAATAACCTATCCTTCCTTACTTTGTCGATAATCAAAACAAGCTCTTTGATTACTTCCCTAGTTAATAAACAATCCTAAACAGGCTCTTAGGATTTAATTTACTAACAGCATTAAAAGAATTAGAAAGATTACAAATTCTAGCCAACAAACTCAAAAGCATGGTTCATTTAAACTAGACTATATATCTTCATAACATAAGATTGAAAATCTAATTTATAATCAACTATGTTATTTGCTACTAGCTTTAGAACACTTAAACAATTACGGATTCAAAGTTCTAATTAGCAATTTAATACCTTGACAATTGAACAAATGGCCCTTTTGCAACAATTAATCAAGCAATAATTAAAACTCATATAACAGGAGATATATAAATAATAAAGTGCAGAGAATAAAATTAAGCTAAATAAATCTCACTGGTCTTGTAGAATCAAACTTCAATAATCCTTGAATTGGAAAATTAAAACTCAGCAATACATTGCAGCGAGTGTTTACAGTAAAATAAAATTATTATGAGAAAACTGATTTTCCTCTACTGAAAAATTCAGCCCTATTTATACTAGTTCAGGATCCCTAATCAACTCAAAATAACCCTAATTTCCCTAACATCCACAAAATAATTTAATTTCTTTAACCACACAAAATCTAGAAAATAAATAATACTTATTTTTCTAACCAGAGAAAATTAACAAAGTAGCTATTGTTGTTCCAACCTCTGCCTCAATTTGATTTCATCTGTTCATAGGAATTATTTGCGGACGAACGTGGCTGGAAATCACGAACGACGAACGCAGAAGAATTCACCGCAGCAGCCGAAGGAGTCGCAGACGAACGAAGCAATCGCCGATGTCGACGCTGCAGATCATGAACGGTCTGAACTGAAGCTGCTCTCTGGACCTCAATTATGAATTGCGTACATAATTCACAGGGAAAGAAAAAAAGCATATTAAGTTTAGGCATAGGATTTGGGCTTAAAAATAAAATAACAAATAACATTTGGGTTGGGTCAAACTAAATAAGAAACATAAAGAGCTCACTTTAATCTACCTAGCCCAACTCTTATTAATAATGATATCAATATGTATATTCCTAAAGGCCCAAAAATAACATTTAAACTTAATTATTTAAATAATTATTATATTATTACAAAATACAAAATAAAACACAAAATAATATAATGTAAAAACAAATAAAACTAATTTATTATAAAAACTAATCTAAATTAAATATATAAATAGTGCTTATCAATTGGTGATCCAGATTATGTTTGCTAGCAATGTAAGTCATTTTTTTGGTACAATGAACGGTCAAGCAATTCCAGGGGCTCTGAAAATCCAAAATACTCTGCATGTTGTGTCAATGGTAAGATAAAGTTGCCATTAATGACAAAGCCTCCTCAAAATTTGCACGACCTATTCTTTACATCAAGTGATAAAAACAAATGTTTTTAAAGAACATAAGGTCATATAACAACATGTTCTGCTTCACGTCCATGGGTGGGAAAATTGATAGAACTATTAACAATGGAACATCACCGCCTATATTCCGTATAAATGGTCAAAATTTTCATCGCATTGGAAGTTTAGTCCCTTCAGTTGGCATTCAACCTAAATTTGCCCAATTATACATTCACGATACAGAGAATGAGATAGAAAATCGCTTCAACTCTTTGAGGTATACTGTTTTGTGTTACTAAAATATTTTAGTTAGATCATGGCTGAATATGGAAAATCTAATATTATACATTCTTCATTATTTAGGGCGCAAAACAATGGTTCTACATTGCATGTTGAGGTAGTACATGACATTAAACAAGCGCTAGATGAACACAATGTGTTGGTTAAGTCATTCCGAATGACCAAGTCGTTTATTGAATCTAATCCTCAAACTCAAATAAGAATGAGATTAATAGGGAAGAGGACCAAAGATGCCAGAACTTATGCGCTTCCAACTACTTCCGAGGTTGCCACTCTCATTGTTGGAGATATAGACCCTTACATGGGCCAGCGTGATATTATTATCGAGTCTAGATCTGGAGTCCTGAAACGAATAAGTGAATTAAGCCCTGCTTATTTACCATTGCAATACCCAATATTATTTCCATATGGAGAGGATGGTTTTAGGGAAGATATACCTTTTGCTACACATGGTAGTAAACAAGACTTTTCAAGAAAGAGTGTTTCACAAAGAGAGTACTTCGCGTTCCGTATACACGAAAGATCAAATGAGATCTCAACTATAATGTATGCTAGAAGGTTATTCCAGCAATTCTTGGTTGATGCATATACTATGGTTGAATCTTCGAGGTTACTCTATATTCGGTTAAATCAAAAAGCTTTGAGGTGTGAGGCGTACAAAGGTCTCTCTGATGCGTTGACGCGAGGTGAAGTTCAACCCAGTTCTCAAGGTAAAAGAATAATATTACCTTCAATTTTCACGGGAGGAGCAAGGTACATGATACAAAACTACCAAGACGCCATGGCAATTTGCAGATTTATAGGTTATCCCAATCTTTTTATTACTTTTACATGTACCCTAAATGGCCTGAGATAGAACGCTTCTTGGAGAAAAGAAACTTGAAAGCTGAAGACCGTCCGGACATTGTTTGCGCCATGTTTTCAAAATGAAGCTAGACTGTTTAATAAAAGAAATAAAAAATGGGAAACTATTTGGTCGCGTAAAGGCATGTGTGTAACGTATTTCATACGAAGTGTCATTTTTCACCTAATAATTAGTATAGTAACCTTATAACTAACAATATCAATACATGATTGACAGTTATATACACAATTGAGTTCCAGAAACGTGGTCTTCCGCATGCTCACATATTACTGTTCCTGCAAGCGAACAGCGAGTTTGCAGAGCCGGCCTTTATGGACACGATCATTTTAGCCGAGATCCCCGACAAGGTGACAGACAATGAGTACTACAAACATGTCGGAGAATTCATGTTGCACGGCCAGTGTGGTGCTGCCAGGATTAAATCCCCGTGCATGGCAAATGGCAAGTGTTCAAAGCATTTTCCAAAAAGATACATTGATGCATCGCATTTTGACCAGGATGGCTACCCGTTGTATCGAAGAAGGGATGATAAGGGGACAATAAAAAAAATGGAATAGAGTTGGATAATAGATATGTTGTACCACATAATCGGTACTTGCTCTTGATATACAAATCCCATATTAATGTTGAGTGGTGTAACCAATCCAGGTCAATCAAGTACTTATTCAAGTATGTAAACAAGGGCAACGACCGGGTCACTGCTGAGTTTTATAAGGCTACGATCGATGGAGCTTGTAACGAGATTGTGGATGAGATAAACATGTACTATGATTGCAGATACGTATCTGCATGTGAGGCAACATGGAGGTTGTTTAGTTTTGAAGTACAGTACAGAACTCCCCCGGTTGAGCGATTAAGCTTTCACTTGCCGGACTGCCAATCAGTTGTTTTCCAAGACGATGATACGATTGATAATGTCCTCAATAGGGAAACCGTTGGGCAAAGTATGTTTAATGCATGGTTTGTAGCCAATCAGAATTTCAAAGAAGCGAGTTTACTGACGTACATCGAGATGCCTACCAAATTTGTGTGGAAAAAGGACATGCGTGAATGGCATCCAAGAAAGAAGGGTTCCTCAATTGGTAGATTATTCTATGTACCTCCAGCTTCAGGGGAAATATATTATTTGAGGTGTCTATTGAACATAGTCCATGGTCCAAAAAGTTACAAAGATATTAGGACAGTTAACGGTGTTGAGTACTTGACCTTTAGAGATGCGTGTTATGCTCATGGATTGCTAGACGATGATAAAGAGTACATTGATGCTATAAATGAAGCAAGCTACTGGTCAACTGCGCATTCATTGAGGAAGCTATTTGTTGTTTTACTAACATCATCATCAATTATTAGACCCGAAAATGTTTGGAATCAAGTGTGGGAACATTTGTCTGAAGATGCTCAACACTATCAAAGGAGAGTATTAAAACAACAAGGTAATGTTACTTCTTTACTATACAATAAAGTTTTCAACATTTTTACTAGATTATACTTATAACTATTTTGATGTTGTTAATGTAACAAATTTGGTCTTAACAGAGGAAGAGAAAAAGAACTTTGCATTATTTCAATTGGAAAACCTGTTGGGTCAACAAAACAAGTCTTTAAAAGACTACCCCCCGATGCCAACACCAAGTACTGATAATTCACGGTTGTTTCAAAATCGTTTGCTTTTTGAAGAGTTGTCTTACGATTCGGAACAGTTGAAGACAGATTCTGAAGTGCTTTGTGCCAAACTAACTGAAGAACAGGGTCTCATTTATGATACTGTTATCCAAGATATTGCAAACAATAAAGGTGGCTTATTTTTTGTTTATGGTTACGGTGGAACAGGAAAGACTTTCCTGTGGAGAGCGTTATCAGCTGCAGTCAGATGCAAAGGCCAAATCGTTTTAAATGTCGCCTCAAGTGGCATAGCTTCTTTGTTGTTACCAGGTGGCCGGACTGCACACTCGAGATTTGCAATACCTATTGCAATAAATGAGGACTTTACCTGTAACATTAAGCAAGGTAGCGACTTGGCTGAATTGCTGATCAAGACGAGCTTGATCATTTGGGATGAAGCTCCCATGATGCACAAACATTGCTTTGAAGCTTTAGACAGAACCATGCGGGATTTGTTGCGTTTTGTAGACCCTAATAGTGAAATGAAGACGTTTGGTGGTAAAACAGTTGTTTTGGGTGGAGATTTCCGCCAAATTCTTCCAGTAGTTCCCAAAGGTACACGGTAAGAAATTGTTTCTTCAGCAATCAATTCATCATACCTATGGGATAGTTGCAAAGTGTTAAGGTTGACTAAAAACCTCAGGCTCAGCTCGGTACCAAATGGTGGAAACCGACAGGCATTACAAGAGTTTGCTGACTGGATTGCCAATATCGGCGATGGAAAGCTTGGTGGGCCGAATAACGAGTTCGCAGATGTTGAAATACCAATGCACATGTTAGTATCATCCGGGGGGACGACATTAAAGCAATTGTGCACAGTACATTTCCTATGTTTGCAAGTGGAAACACTGACCCGAGCATCTGTTAGGTCGTGCAATATTAGCACCAACGCTCGAAGTTGTCAACGCTGTTAATGACTATATGACTGAGTTGCATAATGCCGAAAGTAGGTCATACTATAGTTCAGACGCAGTATGCAAAGCCAATGGCGATAACGGTATATTTGGAGATGTACACACACCGGAATTTCTAAACAGCATTCGGGTTTCAGGTCTACCAAATCATACACTGTCTTTGAAAATCGGATCACCAGTAATGTTAATGAGAAATATTGACCATTCTCTTGGTTTGTGCAATGGAACTCGGTTGATAATCACAAAGCTTGCAGATCATGTGATTGAAGGCGAGATTCTGACTGGTCCCAACAAAGGTACAAAAGTGTTAATCCCCCGAATGTCAATGGCACCCTCGGATCCAAGATTGCCGTTCAAGTTTCAAAGAAGGCAATTTCCATTGATGCTTTCATATGCGATGACCATAAACAAAAGTCAAGGCCAAACGTTGACTCATGTAGGTTTAATACTAAAGAAACCGGTTTTTGTACACGGTCAGTTGTACGTAGCTGCATCTCGGGTTAATAATCCAGACGGTCTCAAAATATTGATAGCAAAAGACTCAAGTTCAACTACAACCTCAACCACTAATGTTGTATATCATGAAGTTTTCAATAATTTGTAGTTTTCTAATGTATTCTTTTTATATTACCGTCACCTTGCTACTATTTCTAACATACCATTTTCATATGCTTTTTGTTGAGCTCCCAAATATACTTAATGATTATATTCCAAATTCTTACTGTATTGGTTCACCCAATTTTTAACATAACATAAACATAATTAATAATATGTAATTTACATCCCGTGCATCGCACGAGTCAAACACTAGTAGTAATAATAGTAATAATAGTAATAATAGTAATGATGATGATGATGATCAAGAAGCAGTGAAGTGAATAATCAAAACTCAGCTTATGTGAAGAAGACGAAGCAGAAGATGAAGAATAGGGGGAAGTAATTTTTTTTTTTAATTTATGCTTACGTGGCAATCCAAATAATTAAAACTCAGCTTATGTGGCGAGTCACGAGAGCAGTTACTGACACCTAAGGGAGGGGTAACCGGCTAACGGGGTCAGATGACTCAAAATCATGAGTTCATGTGTTCAATTGCACTTTTAAAAAGTTCATGGGCCTAATTGACCTTTTGCGAAATGTTCAGGGGCTTATTTGACCCATTTTTCTAAACTATAATGCTACGTATATCATAATTAATTGACTATCTATATGCATTACGTAATACATATTATGAATGGTTTCTTTGTTTCTTCTTTTAACTGTGAATGGCCGGTTTTAAATTTGAATTCGTATTTAAACACTAGACCAGCATGTTTAGATTTTGATACCCAGATCAATGAGTGAAACTTGAATGATGATATAGTTTTATAAACTTATATGTTTTGCTGTTGAAAGTACAGAGAAGAGAGCAAAGGCAGCTGTTGCTGTAGCAAGTATACCAGGTATATCATATATACAATGTTTATGTGCACGTACTATAAAATGCTGTCGGATAAAGTTGTTGAAGGTAATAAGTTGAAATTAACATATCATTTACAGTGAAATTATATTATATTTTGTTTAATCTAAATTCTAATTGTGATCAATTAAGGAATTAATCCTAGCCTTCATTGGTAATTTCTCTCTAAAAATCTTAAAATTTAATAGTCGAGGGACTAGAATTTGACTAGTCTTTTTAGTCAACCAAGTGTACCTTTTGGCTTATGTTTTGTACATCAATCCTTTTTGCCTTTCCAAATTCCAACCTTAGTAAGGGTAAAGTTGACCATTATTTAAAGTTGACCCTTTTAGCATATTTGCGACTAGTCTAACTAAAAACGATCGCGGATACCCTTATTTAAAAAAATAAAAAAATAAAAAAATAAACCTGCTACCGTTCTTCTCAAAGAACAGTAGCGAATGCTCAACTTTCCGCGACTATTTTACAACAGTTAGAGAAAGTCCAAGGCTTTCTCTGATCCTAGTATCAACGACTATTGTACAACAGTTGCGAAAAATCATCCTCCCAAATGCTCTGTCAGGTCGGACTGTGGGGGGCTCTTAGGGTTGGGGTTCAACCTTTTTGGAAGAATGAAAATGTATTATCATCATAATATAATACCTCTAGTGATGTCTACCTATTTATTTAGAACAACAATAGTAAAATTTTCAAAAGAGTTAATTTTCAAATTGATCATTCGACTTTTGAAATTCAAATTTTTCCCAAAAATTTAACATCAATAATTTTGCGATTTCCTAATGAATGGCCAAATTGAGTATAAAATGAATATTTAAGGGACTCAAATAGATAATTTTTAAATTCAATGATAGAATTGAACAAACAAATTGAAATTTGACCATTCGAAATTTTAAATTTAAAAATTAATTTTATTAAAAAAAAATATTACAATGGACATAGATGGGATACACAAAAGTTTCACACTGAAAGCTGCGGGCAAATAAAAGCGGTAGTGCAAAGCAAATAACAAAAGAACTTCCAAAGAAATTAAACATGTTTCTTTAGTAGAAGTGAAAATCATCATGTGTCATTTCTTCTTGTTGACACCGTATAGTGGATCTCGTGGTGATTGTAAGAAATATTAAACAAGAAAAATGCTATTTTTCCTACTAATTTTTCATACTTGATGTGATTTATTTTTGTCAGGTCCATAAATTAGTTGACAACGTAGCACTCATTTGTAATTAAATATTAAAGAATTGTCTTAAATAGTGTTACATGAGTAGGGAATTGAACATTAGAAAGAAAGTTCTAAAAAAAGTGTGCAACATCACTCGTTATTACATAATCATACTTGGTGGAGACAATGCATGTTATTTTGTATCATCAGTGGTTCATCACTGGTTCTAACATCATCCTCGTACACAAGACGCATTCCAATACCAGCGTATACCGAATTGAAACGACCAGAAACTTCAATTTGACACCATTCACTGCAATCACCAAAGGGGGGCCAATAGGACAGGCAAGTGAGCTCGGATTTCATATTCTGTTTAATCCCCTGATAGCCCAAAGTTATTATATTAGTTGTCTGATGACCTTCACGAGTTGTGGAAGAGATTTGGAGACCAAGTCCATAGGCTTTAGTTATACTCCTATGTTTCAATGAAGTTGGAGTAGTTATCAAGTTAGAAACCACACAAAATGTAAATCCCATGAATTTGTTATTGTACCAATTTTGAGGCAGGCTAACTGATAGTGAATTTCCCCAATTCTTATGCGTAAACCACTCAGGAAACACCATGCCTGGAAAGCAGACACAAATGAAGTGGACGTTTGAGTCATTTGATAGTCCCTGTGCCACCCACAGTACGTGATGTTAATAATTTAATTTGTATGTGTGAAACATGCATGCATGCATGCATATACAACTAATTAATAAGCTAGTTAGCTTTAATTTATGTGGGCATGCATGATAAGGATGCATGGATTATAATGAGTTACGTACCTTTAGCAGGTGTTGCCATATTGCATCCACTATGTGACCGTAACGTGGATCCTCAAGTAGTCGATCACATTTAGTGAATGAAACTTCATTCAACTTTGGGTATTTAGTCAATGAATCTATGTTGTGGCCGTCTAAGTTGGGGCATTCATCTGCATAAACCTCTTGTATACTAGATGGAAGTTCTGGCAAACTTTGAAGCCTCCCACATCCCACTACATGAAGTACCTCAAGTCGAGTGAGGCCAACAATGGATTCAGCTGGGATACAACTAAACTTGTTGTTGCTAAGATTCAATACTTGCAAACAGTGCAGCTCTCCCAGATCACCAAGAATAATGCCTCCATCTAGCATACTACAATCACTAAGATCCAGCTGTTTCAGTGAAGATAAGCCAGATAGAGAAGGGAACGGTGAAGCCTTGATATCTTGAAAAGCTCCTGCTGGCAGCAACCTAGAGAGGAATGAACAACTCTTATGTAATGGAGAAGCCAGAGGTTTGCATCCATGAAATGATAAAATCTTGAGTTTCTTGAGAAGTGAAATGGAGTATGGTAGCTCTTGGATTGCTGTCTTATCACCGTACAACTCTTCTAAGCATTCAATTTCTCCCAATTCATCTGGTAATTTCTCAATCTTGGAACAACCAGAGAGAATAACAGATTTTAGACCTTTCAATCTACAAATGCTACTTGGAAGGCTTGCAAGATGCTTGCAATTGCTTACATCTATTAACCTTAGGTTTGTGAGGCGCTCGATTGATGATGGTAGCTCTTGGATCGCTGTCTTGTCACAGTACAACTCTTCTAAACATTCCATTTCTCCCAATTCATCTGTTAATTTCTCAAACTTGGAACAACCAGAGAGAATCACAGCTTTCAGACCTTTCAATTTACAAATGCTACTTGGAAGGCTTGCAAGATGCTTGCAATTTCTTACATTTATTAACCTCAGGTTTGTGAGGTACTCGATTGATGATGGCACTTCTCTTATAGCGGTAGCCCCAGCATGTACTTCTAACAAGCAAGCCATGGGAGCTGCAATTTTTGGAAAATTTTCAAGTTTCAAACAGCCTGAAAGGGTCATTCTCTCAAGCTTTTCTAAATGAATGCTTTTGGGAAGCCTCTTCAGATTTATACAATGCATAAGGTTAAGTGAAACAAGGTTCTTGAGAAATCCAACAGAAGCATGGATTTCTACCAAACTTGTACACTGTTCTAGAATCAATGTTTCAAGATTTGGGATTCCTGTGAAATCTGGAGTCCTAATTAATTTCTGAGAGTGGCTCAGATTCATGAATTTCAAATTGTCCAGGACCTGTATGTACAAGCTAAGTGAGATATACATATAAAATTAAAGAAAATTAATAATACGAATAAAATTAAAGCAAAAAAGAGATCAAATCAGAGACAAATACCAAATAAATAGTACAATTAGATAGACAAACTAACCTTGAATCCTTTCCAAAGTTGTATGATACGGCTATATTGCATTTTAAGAGAAACAAGTTTTTGCCCCTGGAAAGTAGCAGGCAAACTTTTTGAAGGATATCCGTGCCAATCTAGCCACCTTAACTCGGCAGGGAGAAAATTAGGGGCATGAGAAGCATTTGCATTGTGAAATTTGAGAAGTCTTAGCTTAGTCATGTGTGTGAAGGCTTCACTACTAACTTTCACATCTGTTGCATCCTGCAAGTTGAATGCTATACCTTGGATGTTTTCTGTACCCTGACAATATAATATTTCACAAGAAAACAATTAAAATAAGGGATTCGATTGATGCATGGCAACATAATCTATCTATGTGATCTGCTGTTTACATACCTCACTTCCTGCAAGTAGTCGAGAAATATCCTGAGGTAGCCACAACCTGCTATAGCTTTTTGGATCATCTGAAGCTTCTTGGCGAACAATAGACCACCCCATTTCTTGTAATAATTGATGCATCAAAACACGACCTTTTGAAATAGTTATTAGAGATTTCTCTCTAAGAACCTTTATGCCAATGATAGAGTGGAAGTCGAAACTATTAAGTATTCTTGTTATGGATGTTTTCTTCTTCCCATTAAAGAAGCATGCAATGTCTAAGAAAACCCTTTGTGTATTTTTGTTGAGACTAATGAAACTCAATTTAAGTTTCTCTAAAATCTCATCTTCTGGGATTTCCTTAAGTCGGGCAACTTCACTTCTCCATTCATCAATATCTCTGCCATATAGCAGGGAGCCAAAAACTTTAAGAGCCAACGGAAGGCATCCGGCAGAGTGTACAACTTGAGCTTCGAGCTCCTCAAATTCCTTGGTCGGCGGCAGCAACAGCTGTTTATTAAATGCATGCTGCCTAAAGAGTTGAAAGCTTTCGGCTTCCTCTAGCACACTCATTTTAAAGTATTTCATAATCTTCACTTTATGGCTAATAAGCAAGTGCTTATCCTTGGTTGTTATGAAGATTCTACTTCCAGCACCGAACCAATCGCTGTTTCCAGCCAATGATTCTAATTGATCCCTGTGATCAACATCGTCAAGAACAATAAGCACTCTTTTGCATTGCAGCCTCTGCCGTATCATCATTTTTCCTTCAAACACATTGTCTATTTTCATATCTTTTACTGAAAGAATATTAGATAGAAGTTTCTGTTGCAAGTGCACCACACCATGCTTGCCCGACTCGCTTCTAACTTCATGAATAAAACTACAACCTTCGAATTCTTTTGAGATGTTGTCATACACAGCTCTTGCAATAGTTGTCTTTCCAATCCCGCTCATCCCAAGTATTCCAACAAAACGAACTTCATTAGACCCCAAGCCTATCAATCGATACAGTTTCTGCATACGAGGCTCCATCCCAACCAGTTTTGGATCATCAATTGACCTCGTTGAACCTAATTTAGTAACGATATCTTCAACAATTTTCTGGATGAACTTTGCTTCATGCCTATATACATCACAATAAAACACAGTAAGTACAAGTCATAAATTAATTAAAGACCGTACACAAATTAATGCACGTTTTTTAGTTGGATGACTTGATAATAAGACCCAACCATGGTTGAAAACATGACTGATAAGACCCAAGTCACCCAACTCAAATTGATTTTTGATTTAGGATCTTTGAAAACCTTGAAAATATTTTTTGGAAAATGATTTTCAGAAAACGACTCAGTTTTCATAAAATATTTTAATTTTTTAGTGTTTGGCTGAAGGTTAGAAAATTATATTTTTTTTTTTGGCTAAAGTGTCATCCCGCACCCTGAACTATAATGGATTCTTCATGCCGCACACTGTACTTTCATAAATGATATTTAAATCTACAAACCACTAAATTTATTTTGTCTAGCAATTTTTGCAGGTTTTCTAGTTATGAAGATGAGGTGGCACCGGTAATATACTTACGTGGACTTTCTTTTTAAGTCAATCCTCCCAAATGATAAATATAATAATTAAGTACGAGCCAAAACACTCATCGTTTGAATTTGGCTCACTCCCTCTTCTCTTCAATAGAAAACTTCTTGAAAAAACTGCTATGGTGAGAGGAAAGTTCAAGGGGGCCGCCAGTTCTCCACTCCTGAGGAGATGAAGGCTGGTACCTCAGCGGTTGGTCGTCACACATTGAGAAAGGAAGAAGCCGAAGTTGACGAAGATTGATATCTGAGAATGAGTTGGAGAGGAATCTAAAGGGTATGATAAAGAACAGAGGAAAAAGGGTTTACAGGGCATCAGCGAGATTAAGAATCCTAACTTAGTCCAAGGGGGACAGCCATGCAGCGCTGGAGTCGGAACTTCTCGCTGCTCACTTTACGTATGCCTGGTTTCTTCCACCGACCGCCACCACGCCCAACAGCCCCAGCCGACATGCTCTCTCTCTCTTTCTCAATCTCATTCCACGGATGGTCACAGCCGCCACTAGCAGCTGTACTAGACACCGACGAGGTAGTGATTGGATCTTCCGGCGTGAGCTTTGGCGGTGGCGGTGGATACCATTGTTTCTGCAAACACTGATCCTAAACCTGGGAGGTGTCGTCAAAAAAAAATGGTGGTGCTCGAGAACACATCAACAAAGGTCGCCATTGTTCAAGAAAGCATGCGGAATGCCAGTCTGGCCCTGCTGTTTCTGGCCTACCACTTCAAAGAAAAATCGGACTTCAATTCGTCAAGCAAAACCAGAGACAGGGAGTCGAATATCGATCTTTGGTGGCCGTGGTGCTTGCTGATATGAACCCGTATCAAGCCGGCACTGCTTTGAGTGGATGCAGACTCCAAAGATGGAATTAGGGGAGGGGAAAATCAGAGAGAGAGGGGGAGAGAGAGGGAGAGAGATTTCAGAGAAGGAAGATGATAGCAGAGAAGAAAAAGATAATAATAATACGCATGTCTTTCCGATCCCCCTAGCATGCAGGGTGATTATATACTAAGTTATTCCTATTATGCTTAGGACTATGATTCCTAATTAATATGATATAATAACGTATTAGGACTAAACTAATGTATCCTATTACGAATAAATTTAGTCTAACAAATGTAATCAGACATCCATGTCGGTTTCCTTCATTCTATCTTTGGCCTAGTAGCTTGGGTTGTTTCTTTTCTTTCTCCCAATTCTTGATTTTCACCTTCTTCCACTGTGGATATACTCGTATCACTCCCCTTCCCTTCGACGACCACCTTGTCCTCAAGGTGGAGATTCGGGTACCATCGTTCCATTTCATCGGCAACTTCCCAAGTGGCGTTTTCTAGACTACTATCTGGCCATTGCACCAAGACTTGGCGTTGTATTTTTCCATTTTTTAGAACATTCCGTTCCCCACAGAGTGCTAGTGGGGTTGAAATTGGTGATTGGCCCACAATATTTTCCGGTAATTGGACCTCTATATTTTCTTTAGTTCCTATGTGTTTCTTGAGTTGTGAGACATGGAATACTGAATGAATTCTTCCTTGTGGTGGTAGCTCGAGGCGGTATGCAACTTCCCCTATTTTTTCCAAGATATTGAATGGACCATAATAGCGTCGTGCTAGTTTGTTAGAGCTTCTACGTGCTACTGATATCTGTCTATATGGTTGTAGACGAAGCCAGACCTTATCTCCTACTGAAAATTTCACTTTGCTTCTTTTGGCATTGGCTTTTTGGGCCATGTGATGCTGAGCTTCCCGAAGATTGTGTTTCAGTTGCCTTATCAATCTATCACGATCCAACAATAATTCATCTAGTGCTTGCACTGTTGTTGTGTCTTTTGTATACGGTGCTAAGGTGGGTGGTGGTCTTCCATATAGTGCTTGAAATGGAGTCATTTTAATGCTGCTGTGGTAGCTTGTATTGGGCGCAAAATTCTGCCCATCCCATGTGGGACGTCCAATTGGTTGGTTTGACATGAGTAAAAGCCCTTAAGTATTGCTCTAAGCCTCGATTCATTACTTCTGTTTGCCCGTCGGTCTGTGGATGGTATGATGTGCTTCTCTTTAGTATTGTGCCACTTAGTGTGAATAATTCATCCCAAAATTTGCTTAGGAAAATTGGGTCTCAATCTGAGATGATTGTTGCAAGGAAACCGTGATGTTTTACCACTATTTCTATAAATACATTAGCTGCTTTCTGTGCACTGAATTGGTGTGGTAATGTTCCAAAGTGCACATATTTAGTAAGCCTATCCACAACTACCATGATGGTTCCTTGTCCTCGTGATGCCAGTAATCCTGTTATGAAGTCCATAGTTACATCTTCCCAAACTCTCGTAGGAATTGGGAGTGGTTGGAGTAGTCCTGCAGGGGGTTGTGTTGAATATTTGGTTTGTTGGCATACTTAGCAGGCTGCAATGAACTTTTTCACATCTTCCCGCATGTTTGTCCAATGAAAATTAGTTGCAAGCCGTACTAGTGTGCGGGTTACCCCTGTGTGACCTGCCATTGGGGTTGAATGGAACTCTTGTAGTATGTGAGATTTCATCTTAGAGTTTGCTCCGATATAGTATCGACCTTTATAGAAAGCTAAGCCCTCTTTGATTTCATAATGATTAGGTTGTCTCCCTTCTGTATTTTTTTTTTTTTTGGTGAAGTTGTAGTATGTCAGGTTCTGAATTATTTTCCTTTCGTATGGTCTCTAGAAATTCTTGGATTGGTTTACTTACTGTGAGGAATACTTCCCCATAAGATGTGTTCGGAGTTGCCTCGTCTTCTCTCCTTGAAAGAGCATCTGCTACTTTATTATTACTGCCAGGTTTGTACTCTATTTTGAAATTATACCCATTAATTTTCTAACATAGTGCTGTTGAGTTGGGGTTTGCACTACTTGTTGTAACAACTCCTTTAAGCTCTTATGGTCTGTGCGGATGGTGAAAAATCTCCCAAGTAGGTACTGTCTCCATTTTTGTACCGCTTCTACAATGGCAAAAAGCTCCCTGTTATATGTTGATGAGTTTCTTAAGCATGATCCCAACTTTTTGCTAAAAGAAGCAATTGGTTTGTCATCCTACAGAAGAATTGCTCCAATGCCTTCATTAGATGCATCTGTTTCTACAATGAAAGGCTTGCTAAAGTTAGGGAGTCTTAAAACCGGAGTCTTTGTCATTATAGTTTTAAGGGCTGTAAATGCTTCCTCTGCCTTTTGTCCCCATTGGAATGCATCCTTTTTATGTAAGTCAGTTAGTGAGGCTGCAATGTTTGCATAACCTTTTATGAAATAGCGGTAATATCCTGTTAGTCTCAGGAATCCCCTTAATTGTCGAATGGTTTTTTGTGTTGGCCAGCTTATCATTACGTCAATTTTGTTAGGATCTGCATGCACACCTTCATGATCTATTATGTGACCAAGATATTCGATAGAAGTTTGACAAAATCTGCACTTGCTCAACTTTAAGTAGAATGCATATTGTTTTAGTGTGCCAAACACTTCTTGTAGGTGGTAAATATTATCCTCCAGTGTTTGGCTATAAACCAAGATGTCATCAAAGAATACGATTACAAATTTTCTCAAGAATTGGTGGAGCATGCGGTTCATAATTGCTTTGAAGGTAGACGGGGCATTCATTAACCCGAAAGGCATGACAAGAAACTCATAATGTCCTTCGTGAGTTCGAAAGGCGATTTTATATATGTCCCGGTCATGCATCCTTATTTGATGATTATATATGTCCTGGTCATGCATCCTTATTTAATGATAGCCTGCTCTAAGATCTAATTTTGTAAACACCATTGCTTGACCTAATTCATCAAAGAGCTCATCTGCAGTAAGAATAGGAAATTGGTCACGTACTGTTGCAGCGTTCAAGGCTCTATAATCTACACAGAACCTGTAGGTCCCATCTTTCTTTTTTACGAGTAGGACTGGTGATGAGAAAGGGCTTTGACTAGGTCGGATAACTCCTTGATCTAGCATTTGTGTAACAAGCTTCTCAATTTCTTCTTTTTGGAAGTGTGGGTAGCGATATGGGCGAACATTGATTGGCTTGGTTCCCGAATTTAAATGAATCCTGTGATTGAAAATTCTATGTGGGGGTAGCGTAGCACGTGCTTGGAATAGTTTCTCATGCTGCTGAAGTACTGTTATAATTTCTGGTGGTATATCTGTAGGGAATTGTACCGCTTCTATAGATTTTTCAGTATTATTTTCTTCTGGCGAGGATTCAGGACCACGTATTAAGAGTAACTCATAAAGTTCCAGTATTTCCCTTGTTACTCCTGGAGCTTCTAATTGATTCAGAGTTATTTCTTGTGGTGTCAATGAATGATTTCCTTGCAATTTAATCTGGTGGCCTTTCCATTCAAACTCCATGGACACATTAGCATAGTCATGCTCAACTTTTCCAAGTCCCTGTAACCATTGAATTCCCAATACCATGTTTGGGCCTTGAATTGGAAGTACAAAGAAGTCTACCAAGAATTCATTGCCTTGTAGTGTCAATGATACTTGTTTGCAACTGTGGGTACAAGCTAGAGAAACTCCGTTACCAACATATACCCGAAATGGTGTGACCTTCCAAGTATGTAACTGTAATTGCTCAGCAATTTTGGGTTGCACAAAGTTATGGGTGCTACCACTATCTATTAAAATCTGTAACTTTCGGCCATTAACTTCTCCCAAAATTTTAAGCGATCTGGGACTACCCGGGCCTGCCAATGAGTTTAGACTGGAAATATCTCCTGTGATTATGTCATCTTGCCCATGCACTATGGTTTCTTCTTCTAAGATTGGATCTTCTATATCATCCTCTTCTGTCCCCATTAACATTAGGAATCTAGTTCGACACCTATGATTGGTTGACCAACGTTGGTCACAGTTGTAGCAGATACAGTTTTCTCATTTTTCCCGCATTTCTGCAGGTGTTAATCGTTTAATGGGGAGATTTTGTGTTGATTGAGTTGAGGGTGGTAAAGCTAAGGCTGTTGTCTCCCTTTTGTCTTGGTTTGATGATTGTGTTATAATCGGGGCTGACCGTGTAGTGTTTGCATATGGCATTTGGCGTGGTTGCCACCTTAAGGGTACTCGTGCATTGATATAATCACATTTGTGAATGTTTTTATTGTTTTTTGGAATCAACTCAAGAGCTTTAAGTTCTTTAATTTTGCTTATTTAATACATGTTTTCCTTGCTTTCTCATTAGGATATGGTTTTACACTTGTTTTGAATGTTTTACGGTGTTTGGTAGTGTTTTTAAACCATTACAGATTTACAGGTTAAGTGCAAAAGCAAGGGGAGATTTCCAAGCACGAATGGGTCAAAAAGAGGAGGAAGTTGAGGTATCACAGCCTCGACGCGTCGAGATCATCCCGTAGCCCAAAGTTGAGCCGGAACGAAAGCTCGATGCGTCGAGAATGTCACGAAAGTCAAGACCGCGCCCAGAACAGAGGCTCGACGCGTCGAGAGTGCGAAGTGCTGAAATATTTGGAAGTCTGAAACTTTCCTAAAATAATTCCATTAGGTTCCCACTATAAAAGGATCACCTTCTATCAACCCTAGAGTTTTTTTTTTTTTTTCCAGATTTTGGTTTTTGAATGTAGAAAAGAGCAAAAACCAAGAGGATCAACTTCAAGATTGACAATTGGCTTTGGAGTAGAGAATTGACTAGGAAAATTCGGGAGAATTCTTTCCCTCTTTCTCTAATTCCTATTATTGTTTGTTTATTCTTCAAGATTGTATTGATTGCTATTATGGCCATGAGTGGCTAAAAACCCTTAGGAATTTTTGGGTGAATTTGTTTATGAACCTATGTGCCTATTTCTTTAATTCTTTAATATATTTACGTTTGGTTTTTTGATTTGTATTGCAATCTTGTTTTAATCTGTTGTTGCTAGTAATTAAAGGCCTAAATTACTTGCTACATAGTCATGTTCATGACTTAACGAGAGTTAGGCATAAATTAGGGCACACACGATTGCACTTGACTGTTGCACCTTGAGAAAGGGAAAATTGGTTGGGGAATTTATTCTAGATTGTTGCACATCGAGAGATGGTAGTAATTGAGAATTAATGAATGCTGTTCTTTGTTCTTATTGAGTGTTTAAGCCACGAGAGTGGAAATTCACTAGGGGTAGAGATTACGAGAGTAATTCAATTTCACTTTGCATTCTCACATCAGTATTAATTCCAAACTAAATATTACAACTTTGATTGGCACTAGGTGATTAAACATTGTGATCCCAAAAATCCTGCTTTGCTCTATTGCTTACAACACCTTGTTAATTAGTTTATTCTGTCTTTTATTTTCTACAATTATCAAATCTTCAAATTTCGTTTAGATTAGTTCCATGTGAGTGACCAAGTAGCTAGTGCTTAGTACCCCACTTCCCTGTGGATTAATTACCTGAATACTCCGGATATTATTTGTTTGCCTAAATTACCGCAATCATGCATGTTGGAGCTCAGGCTGAATTTCTTCCAATTTTGCTTCATATTCTCGAGCAAGATCAAAAGCTTCCATCAATGTTGTTGGTCGTGCCATCTGCACTTCTCGTCGAATAAGTGGTTTAAGCCCTGCGATCAACATGGAAATAAGGATATGTTCTGCAATCCCTGTAACTTTATTCATTAATTGTTCAAATTCTGCTTGATAGGCAATGACTGTGGTTTGTTGTGTCAATTTTGACAATTTTCCTTGGGAATCCTCAAAATGAGACTCGCCGAACCGCTTTGTGACATTCTGTAGAAATTCCTTCCATGTAGTTAACATTCCATTCCTTTTCATCCATTGATACCACCCAGAAGCATTCCCTTCCATTCTGAATCCTGCTATTCGCAATCGTTGTGTGCCGGGTGTATCATACAAATCAAAATATTCTTGAATTCTAAATATCCAACCATGAGGATCTGAGCCATCAAAGCGAGGTAACTCAAGTTTCATATGAAATCGTTGAGTTCCTTGGCCACTCTCCGGTTGCAAAGATGGTTGTAGATGATTATCATGTGGAGGTCCTAAAATTCCATGTGCTTGAGGTTGCACTGCTACATTTTTATTTGTTGTTACCATCATTTCCAACCGTGACACGGAGGTAATGAGTTGTTCAATGAGTTGGTGATTTGTAACAGTTTGTCTATCAAAATTTTCTTGCAATTCGGCAATTGCCTGCTCCCAAGGACGAGTTGTTGATGTAGATTGGTTGTCTGACATAATGAAGTCGGATTACAGTTTTGAGTGTGTAAAAGAACAAGAAAGATGAGTTCGATGTAATGAGAGCACCAATTGATACAAACCCGTATCAAGCTGGCACCGCTTTGAGTGGATGCAGACTCCAAAGATGGAATTAGGGGAGGGGAAAATCAGAGAGAGAGAGAGGGAGAGAGATTGATACGAACCCGTATCAAGCTGGCACCACTTTGAGTGGATGCAGACTCCAAAAATGGAATTAGGGGAGGGAAAAATCAGAGAGAGAGAGGGAGAGAGATTTCAGAGAAGGAAGATGATAACAGAGAAGAAAAAGATAATAATAATTCGCATGTCTTTCCCCCTAGCATGCAGGGTGATTATATACTAAGTTACTCCTATTATGCTTAGAACTATGATTCCTAATTAATATGATATAATAACGTATTAGGACTAAACTAATGTATCCCCATCCATGTCGGTTTCCTTCGTTCTCTCCTTAGCCTAGTAGCTTGAGTTGTTTCTTTTCTTTCTCCCAATTATTGATTTTCACCTTCTTCCACTGTGGATATACTCGTATCACTTGCCCAGCAGTTGACGTGAATCTCGGCGACGATGGCAGGCAAGGAGTTGGATTGATGTGAATGGAGGTGTTGACTTTGGTCCTCACAAAAGTGGGTGGTTCCTCTGACATGGTTTCTCAATCAAATGCTCAACTCAAAATCCAATTGGATTGCATGCAATACAAAAATAAAAGCGGGAGTGAAGAAAAGTTAAGCTCCTTTGCTATTGGTTGGCATGGGCGGTGGAGTATGCTTAACATATAGACCCAATAAGAACAATGAGACTGAAATGCTACGTGAAGATGACCTGGTGGTGTGCTCAGAGATCGCCAAGATGGCCGCCGAGATTCAGCTCCCTGTTCGCCGAGCTGGTCGACGAGATCGTGCCGGTGGCGATGGACACACCGCCGCCACCATGTTCTACGGGATTACCGGTAATAATATGCATTGGGTTTGGCTAAGCATATATAATTAAAGAATTAATGAAGCTGACATATCAAATGGAAGGCGAAAAAAAGAAAAAGAAAATTCCATGTCAGCGTATTAATACCAGCAACCTGTAAGAAACTTGTAAAAATTGCTAGACGAAAAAAATTTAGTGGTTTGTGGATCTAAATATCACTTATGAAAATTCAGGGTGCGGCATGAAGAATCCATTATAGTTTATGATGCGGGATGACACTTAGTCTTTTTTTTTTATTTGACTAAAAGTTAAAAAATTATATTTTTCTGTTTGATTCACTTTTCAAAAAATAAACATATTATTTGTTATAAATTTATAATAATAATAATAATAATAATAATAATAATAATAAGTAGAAGAAGAAGAAGTTGCCGAGGTAGTGTTGGTGTTGGTGATGGTATGGTGGTATTAGTTGTGGGTGCTGGTGGTGTAGTAGTGGGGGTTTGGATGCAACTTTTAATTATTTGCCTATATAATTTAATCCTTTCCTTTATTACAGCAAAAACTTTCAGATCAATGATTTTGATTCATTTTAATACTACTTTGGGTGCAAACTTTGCCAATCTATATAATTGCAGATCCAAAGGATTAGACTTAGATTAAAGCTAAGGAAAACAGCAGTGATCTGATCTGAGTATGAACACAGAGTTTAGGTTATTTACCAATTTTCAGTGTTAGTTGTCCAGATCCGATCCTAACATAACAAATTGGATACATTCTCCAATTTTGAGTGTTACTTTAAAATTGATAATTTACTACTAAAATGTAAAATATTACAGGAAATCCCAACAGAAAATTAAAAATCGATCAAACTTGAATCAATTTGCTTATACGGAGCATAAATAATCATTTGATCGAAAAGAAAACAACTGATTTTCTTTTTATGAAATAATATATAATAAAAAAAGAAATTGAATTTTAAAAATAAATTTCATTTGTGTGTGGGGGGTTTAGAGTGGAAGATTTACCCATTTTCAGTGTTGTTCAGATCCCAACCTGACAAATTGGATACATTCTCCAGCACTTTCCTCCATTTCTTCACCTTTTCTCCTTCTTTCTCAAACCTCTTTTCATGTCCTTCAAAGGCTTCTCCATACTTTTCCTTCTGTTTCCTCACAGTCGACGGATCCACGCCATAGAAAATGGGAACAACCATTTGACCTTTCAGCTCCATACACTCCATGATTTTCACTAGTTCCTCCAAACACCATGTGGAATCAGCATAGTGCTCGGAGAAGACGACCACCGCCATGGACGATTCTTCGATTGCCTTCTCAAGTGCGGGCGAGATGGACTTTCCCCTTTCCAGCTTCTCGTCGTCTTTGAAAGTGTAAATCCCTCTGTGCTGCATCGCACTGTAGAGATGGTCAACGAAGTTCTTGCGGACGTCTTCTCCTCTGAAACTCAAGAAAACATCATAGGAGGAACCACATGAAGACACAGAGGAAGGTTGTTCCATTGCAATGGTGTAGAGAGATAGGTGATGATGAAGAATGGAAAACTCTTTGGTTTAAAGGTTTAATTACCAGAGAGGAGACATTTCCACGAATGTGAACCTTTTCCATCATTTTCAAAGCGAGGAGATAATAAATGGTGGACCAGGAACCGGAACCTCAATGGTTTTGGTTGTTCCAGTTTGAATAGCTGGTTCAATTCTAACCAGATTTTTTTTTTTTTGGTGGATAAAATTCAATGTTCTATTTTAAAATCGTGCAAAATCAACAATTAATTTTTCATCTTAGAATTTTTTTAAAAAAATGGTTATATCAAATATTTAAACTTTAATGTTAAACTAACAAATAAAAAGGGAAAATTTTATTTTTGGTCTTCTAGCTATACTCCGATATAGACTTAGTCGATAAGTTATATGCGTAATTATTTTTAACCTCTAAGTTATGCATGGAGTGGCGATTTTAGTCCTTGAAATGCCAAATCTGCCACTTTATTATGTGACAAATTGGTGGTAGGAATAGTCTCCGAGGGAATAAAATTGTCGCTTTGTGCATAACTTAGGGGTTAAAATGGCCACGCATATAACTCAATGACTATGTTTGTACTACAAGTATAAGTGTATAACTTAAGGACAAACAATGTAATTTTAAATAAAAATAATTTTGGGCTTGCACTTAATTTTTCCAAGATTAAGTTGCATACGTATGTATCTTATTATCAAAATTTCAATAAGAATCAAAGTCCACATAGTTGGAGTATTTTTTTCTTGCAAATACAAGGTTGAGACTATTTTAGACCGTCCTTATGCTATTTAATTTGTAACATCCAAATTAGGCTTATAAATTCTAAATTCAATTAGAATTTAATTTTTTTTAAAACCTATTTGACTTAGTTATCCTAGTCATGTGGCTAGTTGCATCTTTTAGCTAGTCTAGCACTAGAATAATACATCTTGAACTTAAATGCCATTGATGTAGGGTTTGGCTAAAGTGTGTAAATAGCCCTACTATTATTTTTGTTAGACAGACGACTTTGGCAGTAGTAAATTCAAGAATATTGCTTTGGCAAATTCTTTTCCGTGAGTTCTTGAGGAGTATTTTAACTTATCTTGGGATTTACCTCCTAAGTGGTGTCAACTCTTATCTACATCCTTTGAGTGGCGAGACTTCACACCTCCACCTTCCTTCCTTTGCTTCTATCGCCCAACCATTTTTCTTTCTTAGCCGGAGCCTACAACAGGTTGTGGTATCATCGTAAAAGAAATCGTGGATGTTAGTAATAATATATAGTTGTGTTATAATATATAGTTTAGAAGTTTGTGGTTGTTATTTAATTGGTTAATCTAGTCTATTGTATAGGAGCTTTTAGTGGCAGCTTTCCTATAGGTCTCTGAGTTGTAATCTCTTTCCTAATTGAATGAGATTTGATTATTCATCCGCTCATCTGGTATCAGTTAGCGTTAGGCTTGTTATCCTATCCTTTTTTCTCTCCCCCTCCGTACCATGTCGACAAACTCCTCTGAATGTACGGTGACAACCACCACCACCCCTATGCAAACCACCACAAATTCCTTGAATGCTGCACATCACTACGTCTCAATAAAATTAAACAACCGAAATTTTCTCTTCTAGCGTACCCAGATTGTACCATTCTTGCGTGGCCAGGGGTTACTAGGCTTCATCGACGGCGGCTCTCCCTGTCCTCCGGCGACGATTCCCGCGGCGGCGCAACCAGGTGACTCCCGCACCACCGCTGCTAGTTCGATGGTCGAGAATCCGGCGCACGCCGCCTGGATTCAACAGGATCAATCGATCCTATCTCTTCTGATCTCGTCAATCTTCGACGAGGTCATGCTGATCGCGGTTGGCCGGGAAACTGCGCGCGACGTATGGCTATCCATCAACGAGACTCTGGCATCATCCACGAGAGCCCGGTGTCTCAGCTTGCTTGGCCAATTCCAGACTCTCCAACAAGGCTACAGTTCGGCCTAGGAGTATCTCGGGAAGGCGAAGATGCTTATTGAGGCGTTGTCTCTCGCAGGTCACCCTCTCTCCCTCGACGAACAGGTGTTGTATGTGCTACGGGGTCTCCGGCGGAGTTCCGGGCAATGGCCAGTGCCCTCACAGTGATCGGAACTCCAGTCACCCTCTCCTAGCTTGGCGATCATCTGTCGGCGCAAGATTTCATCCAGGCTGATGAGTTCCCGCAGATGGATCACACTAGATCCACCCACTCTCCGATGGAGATGTACGCAAGGCGCGGTGGACAGTCCAGTGGAGGTTTTGGACACGACAGCCGGGAGTCCTCCAACCATCGAGGTCGCGGCAGAGGGCAGCACTCTGGCGGCGGGCGTGGACGCGGCACCCGCGCTGTCAGATCTGCAGAAGCCATGGGCATACTGCCGTGTACTGCTTCAAAAGGTACTCGAAACCGGCTCCGCATGCAAATATGGCCGTCGCAGGTGGCTCGCCAGCGGACGGACAGGCGGACGCTTGGTCCCCGGCGCTTCCACGCATGCCTCGCCGGACGATCAGCTGGTCGGGCAGTCCGAGACGTATACCGACGGCGATGTCCTAAAAGTGGGCAATGGCGCAGGTTTGAGTATCTCCCAAGTTGGTCATACGGTTATCCCATCCAGTTCTAAATTATATATATAGATTAAGGATCAAATGAGGACTCATCTTTAGGTGAGGACGTGAGGTTTAATCCTAGCCGTGAATTTTGTTTAGATGTGTGGATGTAATTTTATTTTTTTTTTCTTTCCTTTTTGCATGGTACGGGATTTTTTAGTAAATGAGTTTATTAAGAGGAAAAATGATACGGAGTATTACTTTTCACTAAAAAAAATGGTGAGATAATGCTGCACAGCTTTTTATATAGTCGAGTCAAGTTCGGTGGATTCTTTATTTCTTAAACATTCTAATCATATCCTAAAGACTTAATACCCAAAATGGTCCTCGACTATTAGCTAATACTTAATTTTGTCCCAAAATATTAAAAGTATCCGATTTAGTCCTCTTACTTTTAAAATTGCACTCAATGTGGTCCTACGTTAGAATTGCCGTTTAGTCACCGTTATGTTGAGGGCATAAACGTCATTCTGAGTTGAGGTCAAAAATGTTTCTTCCGTTGGTCTCTGTTGCGACTCCAGAAAGGCACAAATTGACTATCTCTCTCGCTTAAACACATACTACGCACAAATTGACTCCATAAAGACACAAATCGACTCCTAGGGTATGAAAATGGTTGAAAGTGAAGCTTAAACTGGAATTCGACTCGAAGTGGGAAGAAGATTAGCTAGGGTTTGCCGATTTTTCTTCAAGAATGGGCTATAGTAGAAGGCTTGGAAGCAATGAAATCCCTAATTACGGTATGTGATTCATGACCTTGCATTTTGAATGTTCCACTTTTTTTTTTTTTTTTTTTTTTTTTTTGCCTAAAGTCAGTGTAAATTTGACATTTTTGGTATGTATAGTACTCGAATGGCAGTGTAGGGTCCATGGTATTTGGTTTCCTGTAAGTGTTTGTAGTTTAATTGAGTGCTCTGTTAATGGTAGGGACCATGTGCCTCGAAAGGGACCATGTGCCTCGAATTACTGATATATAATTTCCAGCTTTATTCCTTTATTCATTGCTTTAGTGTTGTGTGGATTCTTTGTTTAATTCCTCCTCGAACTGCTGCTATATGAACACTGCCATGTGCATTTTCTTGTCTTTATTAGGGAGCCTGTATATTTAATTCTTGTTGGGGACCACATATTTAATTGAGTTGTTGGTGTATTTAACTACTGCTGCAATATGAACACTGCCATGTGCATTTTCTTGTCTTTATTAGGAAGCCTGTATATTTAATTCTTGTTGGGGACCACATATTTAATTGAGTTGTTGGTGTATTTAACTACTGCTGCTATATGAACACTGCCATGTGCATTTTCTTGTCTTTATTAGGGATCCTGTATATTTAATTCTTGTTGGGGACCACATATTTAATTGAGTTGTTGGTGTATTTAACTACTCCTGCTATATAACCACTGCTTCTTTGTTTATTTATTTATTTTTTGTTTAACTATTGAAATCATGAGAATCAGATGAAGTATTTACAGTTAAGATTAGACATGGGGGAAAGTTAAGCCATGGTGAGCCTACTACGTATGTGGGAGGGTACATAGATTACTTTGACAATGTTGTAGTAGATGAATGGGGTTTTATGGTTGTTAAGGATCGTCTAATTAATGACTTAGGGTAACATTGAGGATTGCAATATATATGCATTGGATGAGGATAAATTGACTAAGCTGATTTCAGATTTCACTACAGGAAATCTGGCATTTAACGACGCTATAAAAAACGTCGTTAAACGTCACATTTTGTGACGGTTATATTGCATATCGTCACTATTTATACTTTTATGGATAATTAAGATTGCATTATTTTTACTGACGAAATTTTAATTTTTTCATCGGGAAAGGTATAGAATAGATGACGTTATATAATAAACGTCACCAAAGCTTTTATTTTACAAATGTGATGTGAAATAAAACGTCACTAAAAGTAAAACATTAATTTTACAGGGAAAAAATTTCATTTCGCCCCCTCCATTCCCTCCACTGTCTCCACTTAGCTCCCTCCACTCATAATAACTAAATAAATAATAATATGTAAAAATTCTCTTTTATCCAGAGCCTCACATATTTTTCTACCCTCAGACAATCTTTTGCGATGAACTCTTCTCACAATCCCAGGCAAGCTCTCATCTCTTCACCATATTGAACTCAAAAGCTTCATAGTGTTGCAATACATCATCAAAAATCGTACATAGTGAAGAAGAAGAGGTTGTATGCCGAGGTGAGTATAAACCCTAACTTACAAATCTTCACCCAAATTTATCTGTTCTTGCTTTTCTATTCAACTAGTTTTGACCTTTTAATTTCTTACTTCTATTCTTGGTTCTAGTTTTAGTAAAATTTATTAAAAAAAATTTTTGTTTTTTTTTCTTTAGGTTTTAAATGAAAACTTGAGATAAGACCATCATGTATGTGATTAGTGGTTATCTAGTTGACTTTACCATTTGTATTCTCTCCCTGTCATACTCTATAGGTGGTATAGAATATTTCTTTGTTTCCCTCTCTATATATATATATATATAATATATATATATATATATATATATATATATATATATATATATTATATATATATATATATATATATATATATATATATATATATATATATATATGGCCTATTAATTTATATTTTTGAAGTATCAATGTTAGATGATAGATCATATATTGAAATCCTCTATATCATATGTGTGTTAATGAAGAAGGAATCAGAAAAAAAAAAATTGAAGAAAGAAATTAGATGGAATCTGTAAATTTTATGTTATCTCCTTGTGATACTCTGTAAGTGGTAAGTTTGGATTATGTGCGTTAATGAAGAATGAATTAGAAAAAAAAATTGAAGGAGATCAGATTCTGGAATTTGTAAATTTTAAGTTTTTTTTTTCATTTTTTTATATATGTTTGTATTAAAGAAATTTATAATGTTGAACTAATCATATTTGCAGTTACTAATTTCGATAAGCACATCAACTGCGCAATTGCAATACAGAGGTGATTTTTTTAAAATACTATTAGGCATGTGTTTGGTTTAAGAATGCTAGTTTCCAATGATGTTTCACTTATTTAAGAATTCGGCACTGTATGCGGATTTCTTTTTCATCCATATATATATATTTTATTTTTGAAATACGAAGCTTTTTGTTATTATTTTGCATTGTTTGGATTCTCTGTTCCTTATTCATATGATTCTTCTAATTTGCATTTGAATGGTATATGTCTATGTCTGTAATTTTCTATTAAAGAAAATTAATTTTAATAGAAAGCAAAAATAAATATAGATTAAGACAAAAGACAAACGAATAGAAAAAGATGAAGTAAATGCATTATGTTTTGTGGTCGACACTATAATGCAATGTTATGTTAGCCATGTGAGCATTTATTTTGTGAGAAAATGCTTTTATATTTTTAAAAATAAACTAAACCAACTCAAGCATTTATTCTGAACTGTAGTAGAGAGAGTCTATGTAAAAATTGAAACAGAAGACCGATGAATGGAAAAAGATTAAGTAAATGCATCATGTCAGTTTGTCTTCTACAGTATAATATAATGTTATGTTTGCCATTTGTCATTTATTTTTTGAGAAAATGCGTTAACGTATGTGATAATATAGTTGTGCATTATAGCTTTAAATAATTTATGTTGTAAGTCATTATTTGTATTATATAATAGGTACAGTGTTTCTCTATGGATAAGGCATGGATGACACAAAATAAAAGGTCCAATGAATATATTGAAGGACTTAAGGAATTTATGATATTTGTGGTTAAGAACAATGGACATGATTGTGAGATAAGGTGTCCATGTAAAAAATGCTTAAACACATGTTTCTTAAATCAAAGTTCGGTATACATGCGTTCGGTATTAGAATACTTACTTTAACTATATCCTTGTAATTCAGTACTATATTACAATATTTTAATGCTAGTCATATAAAATTTATTAATTATATACTATTGTATTTTTTTGATAGTTAGTGTTTATAATTGCACTACAAATAAAAATATTTACAATCACCAAACAACATAATATTTATTGATGCATTTTGAATTTCATCAGTAAATTCTTTTGGAACAATTCATAATATTCGTCACCAATAACATAATACATGACAAAGATTTCAATATATAAAATGCCAGCAAATGTATATTTTGTGACGCATTTAAGATTTTATCAATAAATTTTTCTTGATAATTTCTCAATTTTCGTCACCAATCGTTATTATTGATGACAAGCATTACAAAATATAAAGCATCAGTAAAGCTCTAATTAACGACGCTTTTTAAATTTCGTCGTGTATACTTTTGCTGACGTTTTATTATATATTCGTCACAAATTTTCGCTTTTGCATGACATAATTTAGAGTATGTAAAAACGTCGGCAATTATAACATTTAACGACGAAATTTTAGTTTCGTCAGTAATACCTTTCCATACGCCGCAAGCGCGACGACCATGGTGACGTTTTTATTTCGTCACTAATAATTATTACTGACGTTTTTCTTTCATTTACCGACGTTTTTAAACGTCGGCAAATGCGTAATTTCTTGTAGTTAGAAGTCTGGGATTTAATAGATTTTCAAGGTAAGGCAAGAGAAGTTGAGTTATGGGTTGGTTTGGGTGAATTGGATGCAGTAAATGAAGAGGAGGTTAGTGAGGATGTGTTGTATGATTGTAATATTGATTACAATGAAGAAGGTGATGATGATTGCAATAGAACTATGCTTGATGACATTGAATTTGCCAAATCAGTTGATCCAACTGTGAAGTTTGATGGTTTATTGGCAAGTTGTAAAGGTGTGGGTGAAAAACAAGTTGCGGGGCCAAATATTGACAAAGAGGTTCAATAATCTGATGAAGGGACACCATATGGTAGTGATGAAGAAGGAGTAGTAGAGAAATTGCCACATTTTAGGACTAGCACTGACATCGAATGCCCTGAATTTAGTATTGGTTTAAAATTTGCTTCTAAAACTGATTTTAAACAGGCCATACTAAATTATGCTTTTAAGGCTGTGAAGGATTTAAAATTCTGCAAAAATGATAATGTTAGGTGTGTAGTCAATTGCAAACAAAATGGATGTTCTTGGACAATCACTCTTAGGTTAGACCCTCATTCTAATACTTGGAGAATTACAACCTTTAATGATTCCCGTGTTGGGTGTCCTTGGGTGAAACAAAACAAAATGGTAAAGGCAATGGAAGCACCATCCCAGCCTAATCTAGAAGCTGCATCAAATTATCCAGGATCACAGCCTATTCCAGCAACTGCACCAGAGATTCCAGTATATCTTCCTGAAAATCCAGCACATGAGGTACTTGTAGCTTGGGTTATTGTGACAGTTTGTTTTAAAATTTGAGCTTGTTATAGGTTAATGTGTTTGTAATAGGGTGAAGGAGGACACAACGTGGTGCCTAGCCTACATATGTCATTTTTCTCAGAAGATGATGAACATGAAGTAGGAGATGAGGTAGTAGTGTTTTACCTACATTCTTGTGACAACTTGTTTTACACTTTCATGTAGTAGTGTTTTACATACATTTAATGTTCTTGTTACAGGTTGAAGAAGGACATGAGGTGGTGAATAATCAAGAACTGCCAACTCAACAACCTCCTCCCCCTACTGCCAAAAAACAAAAGACTCTTGGGTTGAGAAAACAAGTGAAGACAAAGCAAGCGCGTACAAGAAAATGCAAAACAAGGTCTACCATGGGGTTCAAGAGCAAATTTAAAGGGAATTTCAATGAACCTATTGAAATTGAATGAAATCTGGATTTGGATTGTTTTTGTTATACTGGTTTGTTTTAGAATGTTGCCATAGTTACTTTTAGAAGGTTTTGTTTTTTTGTTGGCAGTGGTAGAAAGGAAAAAACCAAATTGTTGCCAGTGTTAGAAAACACCAAACTGGTGGGCAATTTTAGCATGAAATTGTTTTTTGTTGCCAGTGTTAGAAAACACCAATGTATGGAATCTCTTTTTTGTCCAATTTATGCAATCTTTTTTTCATGATCAATTTAAATACAAAATATGGAATGGAAGTTACATTATTATATATGAAGGGTAAAAAATTACTCTTATTCTTATTATAATGCATACACGCAAAGATTTGTATTCACAACGCAAGAATTCGGTCTCAATAATCATTAATTTGAAGTGCGTTGTTTGTGCATTTGGCATCCTCAATATTTTTATTCTTCACAATAAAAGGATGAAAGCATGTAAATAATTAAATATTTTAATTATTTAATTTTATTCAAAATTTTAAAATTATTAATTCAATAACTAACCCTAGCTAGGAATTTTTTTGATTGGTGAATAACAATCTAATTTCTTGTATTTTGATACTACCATTGCAATATCAATTAGTCTTGACTATTTGTTGTTTATCCATTACTGTTGCTTATGCATCAAGTACATTAGAAAGACTCAATAGATTGGTGAATAATTTTACATCTAAATATGTCCGAAGAAGAAGAATATCACTTTTCAAGTGAAATTTTGAATAATATTTTTATAGACTATTATATATTTTGGTACAATACAATATATCTTTTATATATTTGCAATTATACAAAAAGGGGACCAGTGTTAATTTTCTCACGGGACCCAAATTCTCTTAAGAACGGCCTGGATCTCACAATGGGAGAGGTGTTTACATGGAGGATTAATGTTGTGGCGAGCTGTGAGGAAGGTTGGCTCCTCATCAGACATAATTGTTCTCATGAACGTACATCTCATTCATTATTGTAGACAGGGGGTTGGGCGGACAGAGTTAAGGTTGGGTAGACCAATCCTCAAATTTTCTGCGTGTATTTACTCTTCTATTCTTTTTTTCTTTTTATTTTTTGTTATTTTATTTTAAATTATTCTTATAATTTTCTTGGCACACGTCATTAAATTATTTCCAGGTCAACCAGGTGGAATGGGCAATCGGGTGGTAACCTACAAAAAAGTTTAATCGAACAATTTTAGAAGGTAAGTGTGTCTGATTAGATTATATTTTAGATCGTGGGAGGAATTGAGCAGTTTGCAATAGTAGATGGCCATATTTGACACTTCTGCCATTTAAAATAGAACATTAAATTTTTATTTTTTTAAAAAAATAGCTATTCAAACCGAAACTGCCGATTAAAGTTTCCGATTCTTGGTCGACCATTTATGAAACCGAAACCACTGGTTCCGAACTCTAACCGGACTTGAACCGGAACCGTTGTCAAATCTACTTATCTTATCTCCTCGCTTTGAAAATGATGGAAAAGGTACACATAACGTGGGAATGCCTCCTCTATGGTAATTAAACCAAAGAGTTTTCCTTTCTTCATCATCATCTATCTCTCTACACCGTTGCAATGGAGCAACCTTATTTTGTCTCTTCATGTGGTTCCTCCTATGATGTTTTCTTTAGTTTCAGAGGAGAAGACGTCCGCAAGAACTTCGTCGACCATCTCTACAGTGCCATGCAGCAAAGAGGGATTTACACATTCAAAGACGACGAGAAGCAGGAGAGGGGAAAGTCCATCTCGCCCGCACTTGAGAAGGCAATCGAAGAATCGTCCATGGCCGTCGTTGTCTTCTCCGAGCACTATGCTGATTCCACATGGTGTTTGGAGGAACTGGTGAAAATCATGGAGTGTATGGAGGTGAAAGGTCAGATGGTTGTTCCCATTTTCTGTGGCGTGGATCCTTCGACGGTGAGGAAACAGACGGGAAAGTATGGAGAAGCCTTTGAAGGACACAAGAAGAGATTTGAGAAGAAGGAGAAAAGGTGAAGAAATGGAGGAAAGTGCTGGATGATCTTAAACTCTATATGATCATACTCAGATCAGATCACTGCTGGTGTTTTCCACAACAACCATACTGTTAGATCTAAATAATCTAACTATAATAAACCATAGTATACGAGAAACCTGACCTCGTATGAGAGCTGAAGCGTAACCGTGTTGATCTCCAGCCATAGTTGATGTTCCTGTTGTGTTGCCTCTTAACGGTAGACCGTTAGCCATGTTTTGCCTCTCAGAACCCTAGATGGTGTATTGGTATCTACTGAGGAGTACCGTAACTGAATGTGCTATCTAATCCATAATCCTGCATCCCATCAATCCAGGTTATATTAGGCACAGAGTTTGGTTGACTAACAACTACTAGTTATTAAGTCCAACCAGACCACTTAATAAGCCTAGTCAACTTGCACCACCTAATTAAGGCCCTAATATATAATATACAATATATATTACAAGGGAAAATCTTACATTCTCTCACTTGGTGCAAGTACTAGCACAACCTTCATCAAAGAACAAAACACACGAATCATAGTGACATGTCCTCTATTTAATCAGAATAGTGTCCATTATGGTCACATGCATTTTAATTCTCCAACTTAGGTCCTTTATGAACAAACCCTATGTTTATTCTCGGTACCTTAAGGGATGTTTCTCAAAATATATTATGTGCACAACTGAAGGAGAAAACACATCCAAATTGTACAAAAGAGTACACTGTATGATCTCTAAAACTTTATAAACATGCCTTAAGTAGAGATCTCTTAATGTTAGCATAATGCTAACTATATTCCATGACTTTTTTATAAGTTAAATTTAAGTAATATCTCTAAGGCCATCCACACTTGTGGATATTGTGGGGAGAATTCAGAATTAAATCTTCCCTTCATGAGATAATAGCTAGTGTGGACATGAGATAATTGAAAAATAATCTCCCTGCAAATGTAGGGAGATTGTCAGAAAAAAAAAAAAAAAAAAAAAAAAAAAAGAGAAAGAAGAAGAAGCAAGGCTGTGCGCGTTCGCGCACAGCCTTGGGCAAAAGCCGGGCGCGTGCACTGCACGCGCCCGAAGGCGCGTCAGGCGCGCCAGTCGGCGCGCCTGACGCGTCTGACTACTTTCTTTTTTTTTTTAATTTTTTTTTTTTGTTTTGTTTTTTCTTTTTTTTTTTTTTCTCTCCTCTCCCACACTCTCTTTCCTAATCACTCTTACATTATCTCCCCATTCTTCCCAACCAATGTGGATGCTCTAATAGCTAAGAGCTTGGAGTTGACACGTCTGTCACTCCACTCATCAAAAATAGCCAAAAGATAGTCAAGTCACAGAAGCATTCCAATAACTTAGACAATAAACCAAACGTCTAAGTCCATAAATTTGGAATCTTAATCATACACCTTAACTTCCCAAATAACCTCAATGTTCATTTTAAATGAACTAAACATAATGAGTCTTACTAATATGCTCCACAAAATTGTCTTAAGCCTTACAAACCAAAATGGCCAGGATCAATTTTGAAGAAACTAGAGACTCTATTAATCACTGAAGAATTTATTAAATGACAGTGCAGCACAAGTTAAATATTTTTGTTCTAATAAATTCCTTAATATTGTTACAACATTTTCATAAATATGTTGCACAACCAAATGTTCAATAATTTGAACTTATGAATTTATATGAACAAATACAAGATTAATACTTGTGGAATATTTTGGACTTATTGTTTGACATACAATCAAATTTAGGATGTATGAAGCCAATTAAATCCATAAACTTTAGTGGGGCATCTTAATGATCTTTTTCTAAATGATCACTCCCACTGATTAAAATATTCTTCAGCGAAATTAATAAAGTGAACTTAATAATATACATACTCATAATTGATTTATTGACCAACTAACAAATGAAGACATAATTCACCACCATTAGTTGGACATACTAAATAATCAATTTTTGGTTCCAATTAAAGTCCAACGAAATAATGAAGATATATTTCCCCACTATAGTTGGACATACTAAAAAAAAACAAAATACATATTTCAAAACCAAGTTAGAATTTGGCTCAAAAGATACATTTTAACATTATTGGAATCCAAAAGGTATGTCAAATCACGTAACTTACTACAGTTAATTCGAAGAACCGAGCAAGATTCGTGGATCAATTAATAAAAGTTGCTAAATTTTGGGAAGTGACTGAAAAATATGTTTTGCCAATGCAAACCATGAAACTTAGAATTATAATTGAACTAAATTTATAAATTCTAAGAATTATGATAAAATTATTATCTAATGGGTTGAGGGATTTATTGACATAAAACTTGCATGTGGGCTAAAGTTTTAATTCTATTAAATCCAATTAATAAACCCTTATGATAATATTTTTCACAATTGCTAAAGAGCCAGAAGAATCTAGTGACATAAAACTTGCCTGTGGGCTAAAGTTTTACTCAATTAGATCCAAATGAAAAATTTATTTATGATGAAACCATTATCAAATGAGTTGAAGAATCAAATGATATAAAACTTGCCTGTAGGCTAAAGTTTTATTCAATAAGATTCATTACAACCATTATGATAAAACTTAAGAAATCATGCTCCTTTCCTAATCCCTGTGGGCAAATTAAGAAATATGATCTAAAGTTTACATCATAAAATTAAACTTCATGATAGAATTGAAAATTATTTACAAATAACCATATAGTAAATAAATAAATTTATTTCTATCATCACTGATAAAACTACTAAACTACATTCTGATACATAATTGTCTGTGGGCTAAATTATGACCGTAGTCCAGTATTTCATCCTAATTAATTATACAAATATAACGAAATTGCCTGTGGGCTAAATTTCATCATATTACATACAATTAATCACAAATGATATGTCCAAAACTTTATGTGATCAAAATAAACCGCTTAATATATAATTTTAACTGATTAAGGATGTTGTGGCTACTCCCAAACCAAATTAAAATTATAAGATCACTAGACAATTATCAATTCCTTGCATAAACTTTATGTGATTGAAAACTTAAGAATCTTAGGTAGCTGAATATGATGTAGCATTTCCTTAATTAACCAAGATTGGAAACTTAAGAGACTTCAGTAAATTAAAGATGCTTTGGCTATTCTTTAATGAACCGAAATCAAATCACATTGGCAAGGAATACTTAAAATTTTGACAAACAGATTATACCAGATTGTGATGGGAAAATCTAAATATA